ATATGTCCCAATATTTTTATGATGGTTATATAATCAATTTTAAGAAATTTTACATTAGTGCAAATTTTGGATAATTAATATTTTCAAATGCTAAAAACAAAGTGAAATAAAAAAAATAGGATTGCTATATTACCGAAGTTTTTTTCTGAGGCACATCATTGCAAATTTTCCATTCGAAATAATTTAAAATGGACAACTGAACCTATAAACAAAATGCAAATTATGTTCAACTATTTGCAATAATTTTTAAAAAACTTCCTATGATTAGGTAAAACAATAAACCGAATACTTACTGATTCGAATAAATGCTAAGAAATAAATTAAATGAATGAACAAAAATGAAATAAGAAATTTGAAGAGAAGTATACAAAAATATGAATATCAAATATGTTAGCTGCTGATTCACAGGCACAAAAAACTGTAGAAATAGGCAGGCCAAATAGGTAAATTTTAAAAATGAAAAATAGTCTTTTAACAGTGTAAAATAAACATTTAACTTGGTACTATATATTTTTATTTTTATTTACGTTCTTGTGTAGAATGTTTCCGAAGTAAATATAAAATAGTTACCTTCATGTAATGTTTGCTTTCATTACTGTTCTGACAAATCCCCGCAGAAATTCTTTCTTTTATTGTCGCGCAATTTGGACAAAAAAGGCTGAATCGCCCTGAATGCACAGTAAGATAATTTTTTTCACATTCAATTTAAACATAAGTGTAAATATTATACGATTTGTTCTAATCACCTTACATAATGTAAATACTGCTGTTACATCAACACATATTTTTTCGCATTATATCTAAAATATGTGTCAAAATTTCCAAAGTTGCAAAATTCAAAGTTTAACGAAAATGAGACCTCCTCCATTTTTTAAACTGTTCATTGTTCTAACAGTGGAAAAAAGTGAAGCAAATATTTGTAGTGTTTTTTGATATTTTGGATGAAATTGAAGTAGAAATTCCGCAAAATTACGCGTTTAAAAAAAATTATGGCTTTTTGTAAGATCTGATTATTTAGCACATATTTCATTGAAGACAAAAATCTCTATATTCAAATTTGTACATTTGCACTTTTAACTTGCTTTTGCAACTTTTGAAAATCCGATGTTTGCGAAAACTGGAACCATCACCAATTTTTATACCGTCCTTTGATACGTACGAGGAGAATATTTATAAGAAACAATTTGGAGCCATTTTTTAATAAAAAAGTTATTTTAAAATTTTTAATTAAGGATAATTGGATATTGAACAATAAATACGAGAATAGGCAACATTTAAGCATTTAAACACAATTTAGGCATTTATTAGTGAAATAAGCATTTATGGGCAATATAAAATTTGCTTATAATACTCCTAATGCCTCAAAATGAACAAGAAACCTAACTTATTGCATTTTCTATTGAAAGGAAGAAATTGGCAATAGGCAAAACAAAATAACTCGGCTTAGAAATAAGAAATACGAATGAAATAAATGAATAAGAAATGTAAATGTTAAGAAACATCAGAAATCTGCTATGAGGTCAACGTATTTCATTCCAAGGGCGCCGCGGCGTGGTGCCCAACGCAACGGGACGAGACGTCTAGGAGAGGGGGGAGTGGGGAGCGGTGCGTTCCAAAATAAACGCTCGGGGGCGGCGGCGGCGGCGGCGGGGGCGACTCCACCACGCCGGCAAGCAGCGCCTGCCTCGTCGCGCGCGTGATTTACGCAAATAGGCGGTCGGTTTGTTAGTTTGTTTGTCTTGTAGCCGGGGCGCGGGGCAATACTCGCGTCCCATTCATTTCCCCTTTATTATAAACCGAGTGGGCACGGGCGGCGGGGCTGGGCGCGGTGTGTTTGGGCGCGGCCGCAGCCACTTGCGCCCGCTCGCAATTAGGCCTCTCGGCGGCCGCGGTCGCAGCGCGCCGCCCCCCGCGCTCCCCGCCTGGGCACATGGCCCCGCCCCGCCCCGCCCCCTCGCCCAGGCAGGTGGTGATGGGCCGTGATGGGGCAATACGTGGCGGATAAGGAGCACTGTTACGTCGTTGTTAATGGCATTAGGCCGACAAACAGCAAACACCAACCGAGGACGTTATTTATGTTAACGACCGTGGCTCCTTCAATACTATTCGTTACTTATCGTACTTCAAAACTATGCCGCCGTAAAGTGTTGTAAAAAAATATCGTTTCTTGGAATAAGTTTGGAAAATTCATGCTGCGCCTCTATTTTGTTTCCTTATCAGTACCGAGTTTGCCGTATGCGTACCGGAAAACCACACAGTCATACTCTATCTTTAGCGCTTACTGATTTGTTTGATTGTTCTTAACGTACAGTGGACTGTAATATCTTAATGCGCGCCGGTTGTTAAGTGTGTCTTTTCACGTTTCTGTCTCATTCAATGGAACATTACAGTATTACGAAAATATTTATGCGAAACGTACAGAAAGGGAGTCTCTTGCGTACGAATGAAATGTTGATGAAGGAAGTGATAATATGCGAATCTTTTCAAAATGCGAAATTTTGCGCCAAAGACACATTCATACGTCTTTTGTTACATTATTTTTAACACCAATTGATGTAAACGTACAAGCTTTCGGAATCATTCTCATTAATGAAGTGACAGCCACGTTTATTTATGATGCGCCTCTATTTTGTTTCCTTTTCAGTACCATTTGCCGTACGCATACCGGAAACAACTCTTTTCAAGAAATAAACAATAAAGGTAAGTATTACTGTTCATGCATGAGTGCTGAATGCTATTCTTTCAGGGTTTTTAATGGTTCAATTATACATAAGTATACGCAATTCAGTGACTTCTTGAGTCTACTGGACGAAGGGACTTCTTAAAATTGTTTCAACCAATTTTCAAGTTGTCTTCTATTTCTTCACTATGCTCAAGAAAGATTGAAAAACTGTTATATTAATAACTAATTAATGAACTGAGTTGTTTAGGTGAAGTTGTAGCTAGTTATTAGCATCACCTTATACATAAGGTATTTAGAGTATGAAGTTTCATACCTAAAAACGTCGTGTTTTCAATTAATTTTTTATCGAAATTTTTGTTTTTTCTATTATTAATACGTATTTATAATTTACTATAAAATATCTTTATCCTCTTTGATTTCTTAAAGTGAAACTACGAAATTGAGATGTTTTGTTTTAGAATACAAGTGTTATTTTCTAGGATGAAAAGTCATAATAACATATTAAATATGAAAAATAAAGTACAATGGAATTGTCTCTTTTAGTAATCTCGTAATGTAATAAGATGTCTTACGATTCTTACATCGTATCTATTTCATCGTACTTGGCTTTACGTTTCCCTGCGATGTTTTATTAACTCTACGTAACTTTTCGTTTCCCTGCAACAACGACACACTATACCGTAATGAAATTGAGGTAACCTCTTTTAGTTTTTTATTTTACTTTTCTTTTTTCTGGACTCAATCACTAAAATTATTTCTCAACATTGAACAACAAAAATTTACTTTATTCTCGTCTTTCTGGATTCTACGCTCTAGTGTCCCTTAAATAATTATTTAGCATTACTTTTATAAACAATTCGACCACTGGTTGGAAATATTCACCTTTTACAGTCGGGTCCATTTGAGCGTGTGCCTAAAAATAAATAGTTGAAGAGTGGAGTGATGTAGCTTCACAGGACGTTCAGCGCATCACCGCCTGTACTAAACAGACAATAGCGCTTCGAAAAAGTCTTTTTTCAGTGGCACCTTCGTGCTTACGACAAAAAGTATATTGGTAGCAGTGTGTAACAAAAGAAAACGTAAATATCACATTCACAACAATCATAACAGTTGCTGGGAGTGTTGTCCCCTTCACTTGTTGCCCAGCGATCTACTTGGTACCAACATAAAGCATAGGATTTTTAATAGGAGGCCATGATTGGGCCCAGTGCAAAGATTCTTTCCTGGCGCACTGTATTAACCGAGTGGCCAATGCGTGTTGTTCACCTCGCCAGTAATCTTACAATTAGAACGCACAACCCAGGGAAGTCGTGCATTTCCCGAATGTTACGCCTCGACGCCAGGTGCGCCCTCGCGATGTTTTCACAGCGCGTCCTTCCCGGAACGCGAGCCAGTCAGAGATTAAGAGCGGTTTTAGGGGGTCCCGCGGGGCGCGAAGTCCCTTGAAAAATGCCTCCTCTCCCGCGGGGGCAGCGGCGGCGGACGGCGAGCCCCCTGGCAACGTCGGCGGAAAGGGGGGCATCGGTTTTAAAGAGTGAGGATTTGACAAGGGGAAGAGCGCTTTTTTGTGACTCTAATGGGACGCCGTCGACGCAGGCGTCGCGTCGCGTCGCGTCGCTCCGCAGTCGAAGCCGCTCCCGAACCGGTTCGAACGCGGCGTCGCGGGGCGGGGGCGGGGGCGGGGGAAGGGGAAGGACGCCGTCGCCCGTCCTGTCGAGCGGAAGGACGAGCGTCTGGAGACGAATCGGACGCGCCGACCGACCCGACCCGACCCGACCCGGCCCGGCCGCCTGTTAACGGGGCCGCTCGTCTCGGCGATGGGGAGAAGCAGTCGGCTGGTCGCCGTGAGCGGATTTCAACCGCACCCTCGCCCGCAGTGTATCTCGACACACACCACATACGCTTAATTAGCCGACCAGCAATTACATACTCCACACATTTTTTTTGGTATAAATCTATATTACTTTGTATTGCACGTAAAAAAATTATATTTTAGAAATGTATGATGGTATTTACTTTCAACAGTGAATTATCTACAAATGTGTCTTGAATATTTTGTTTCTTTTGTGACACACAGAGCGGAATTAGTTAATTTAAGGAGTACATAATTTAGTCAATGAGATAACTGATTTATTTAAATTGCATTAGCCAGGGAAATAGTGCGTTGAATTCTTGGTCTAAAATTATTAGAGAAGTGAACTGGATTTTGTTAATGAAAACTTTATTTGTTATTAATACAAAGATAACATTTTACTCATTTTTAACTTTTTTTTATTAAGTAAACACTTCCATTTACAAAAGACTTGTGAAGTGATTTGCTTAAAAGAATTTTCTTGGAATTTATGTTCTCAAAAATGATAATAATTGGTGTGTTTCCTATCGGAGTAGCTGACCACTGTAGAATGCACATATTTTGTGCTATATTTTAAATATTTTGCTTCACGCGAGTCCATACATCTTGAAATGCTTGATATAAAATTATGTAAACCCTTTGTATAAAATAATGTGGAATTAATTCGAAAAACGTTTCTACAATTAGAAAATTATTTATTATAGCCATGTCTCAGAATAATATTGAATGATAACATTAGCCTCCATAAAACTCGTACATTATATTCTAACATTTTCAATTAATTAAAAATGAAAAATAATTCATTTGTGATCTAAATGTCATGCCTCAATTTCTGAAAAAAACACTATTTAAAAGTCACTTCGGTTAGTATTCAGCTGGAAATTAAATATAACAAATCCCGCAATTCGTTGTAAAACTGATATCTTTACCCCAATTGGATTTGATATCATCTTAACCAATCTACAGAAAACAAGATTTATACAAGTTGCTAGATTTCTTGTGAGTAAATCGATCTCGTTTGTGTAGGCGTAATGAATGATATAGATGCTGTAGCTGATTGCTATCAGTGATCCAGACTCAAAGAAAGAAGGTCATCAACCGAAAGAATTTCGGTGGAAAGAAGGGAAAGTAAGTATGAAGTAATTCTTCTTTCGGACTCTCCGAAATGCGTGCAAATTATTCCTTTCATTGTAGACCTTATCTGGAGAGGTTGCTACACGAATGTGGCTGAGAGCAAATTTTGCGCACATTCATCAGAACACGATGGAATGTGTTTCCCGGGCACATCAAGTCCTGTTCGCTGGCACGCCAAGTTGTAATTAATTCCATACTGTAAGGTAGAGAGATTATTTCCGAGATAGCATGACGTATGGAAAACAAGTGCGGAGTAATTTAGTTTTGTAGGAAAATGTTCAATTTTAAAACTTTACCATCTGAATTGTCCTAGTATTTTCAAAGTATATATTTTCAAAAGGTTTATTAGATCTTTTGACTCGATTATTATCATATTATGCAAGATTTCGGTACATGACTCCCTACTAGTAAAAACCTTTGACTTTTATTTGCAAATGAATTGCATACTTCATTTTAATTTGACAATTCTTGACTTCACAATTTTATAAACCGAATCAATTTTACACAAGATATTGTAATTGATTTAATTAATTTTGCTTTTGGTATATGAAATAAATTGAGAAATGTTTCTATAGGAGAATAAAGGCGTTTTTGTCATAATAAAAGTTTGAAAATTGTAATAAGACTACTCGTGTATATTATATTAACACAGTACTAGTACACATGATGCTATATTTAGAAATAAAATTGTGTTTATGTTTGTGTGCGAGTGAGATAATGAACATTTAAGGAAAATAATTCAATTAAGATTTTTTCACAATATCGCAAAAATAAAATGATATTGTAACATTTTAGTAGTGAACTAATTTGAATCAATTCCCGAACGAAATCACCAGATTTTCTTCTTTTCGGTATTCATGTCTCTTTGAGAAAACAATGAATTTTGATGAGAAAGCACAGTCTTCGACATAACTTTCTTTCTTAAATTTTCCTTTTTTAATTATATTTTTATTGTAATTAAAGATGATATATATTATTTTTTAGAATTGAATTTAAAAACGTGTAGTTTTCAAAATTAGATTAGGTATGTCATCGTGATAGCTAGTTAATTATTTACAACGGGATGGCAAATCAGATCATAGTCTGAGTATCCGTACCTATTAAATCATAGAAATCATCCGTCTCAGATAAATACAAAAACTGTAAAACCCAACCATGGATTTGATACATTAAAATTTCTTCAATGTTTCCTCATGAGTTTAGAAATTGTAACATTAAAACAACACATTTGACAACCAATATTGTATTATAATACTCTTATGCAAGGATCTGTAAAACAATGAATAACAAATACTCTCTTTGAAATCCTTGGAGTTACTGGGAGAGCAATGAGGAAAGATAGGAAAAAATGATAACCACTTTCTGTTCACGCTCACAGGTACGAGCTGAACACGTAAAAAGGATAACATTTCTTCATATTTACTGATTATCTTATCGGAGTATTTTAACAGATAAAATTCATTAAATTCCTTCTCGTGGATATTGTTTGATATTATGGAAGGGGCGGTCAGTCTTAATGAGACCTTGCCGTTCGCGAAGAAGCTGTGGGCACCTCAAGCAATTTTTCCACGACATGCAATTTCACATGTTTCTCCCCTCTTCCGTTCGATGTCAGCTGATATCATTCAGAACTCCTACTCCTACGCCATGTCATTCATTCTCACCCGAAAATTATCCTCCACATTTTTGAGATTTATTACGTGACCTTGCGTTAAATGAATTTAATTACCTAATAAACAGATTTGCAGGGCATGAATTTAACATTATGACATCTGTAGTATTGTTTGGACATTTCACAAACTAATTAAATGAATGTGTGTGTGTGTGTGTGTGTGGAAAAATTTAATCGTTAAGCGTGTAAATATGATGTGTCACTTAACAATCTTACTAGCTGAAATGAAATGACTTTTGTTCTAAGAAAAGTCAAACGAGAAAATTACGAAATGAAATCTACACGTGGCTGATTTAAGAACTTGAGTTTCTCATTACCTGCTTAGTTAAGAGTTATCTAGTTTGCGGCTTTACGTTTCA